CCTAAGCGGTAACTTTCCTGGTTATATGGCTTAATGACCACGTAAGTGTCAAGTCTGAAATCAAATGTATGCACAGGGCAAATCTCCTTTGCTTTATGACATAGGAAAGTTCTCAGACCCATAGCAGAAAATTTAGACAGCATATGGATAATACACAGGAACCAAACTGTGATTGCCACTGTCCCTGCTTTTCTCTTCTACAACATATCATCTAAGGAGAAATCATGTAAGTGATGCTGACATGAATCAGAAGGGATTCTTTGACAAATGCCACATAGCACAGAAAATCCTATGTGTGGGATAATGAGTTATTTCTATTGAGGCTAATCATTCATTTCTGCTGGGCTGACAAACACGAAAGTCAGTCTGGAAATAGATGGTGCAATTCCTTTGAACTTTGGAAGAAGTATTTACAGCATGAACCTGAAGTAGAGTTCAGATAATCAGATCTGGGCATATGAGCACCGGATAGAGATATATCTAATTATTCATATGAGAGATGCACCTGTTTATTCTAGCACAGGAATTAGCCAATGAACTTGAAACAGCACCTAAAGAATGAGGCAAAACCAAACGTACAACTAATCGTTAAACAAGAAGAGTGATTTGGACAATTACCACTCCGTAACATAGCTGTCGAAGAACCTCCTCAAGTAAAGAAAGTAGCTATTGCCACATTGCCTGGGGCTTCTAAAACCAGACAAAAAATAAAGGAGATGAAAGAAAAAAACAAAAGAGAAATGCCATAGGGAATAAGCTGGGAGCCATACTAAGCACAATTTGCATATTTTGTCCTTTGTTGAATTTCATCATACTTTTCTCCTCAAGGGCTAAATTGCTAGACAACTCTCCCCATAAGCAGGAGAGCTGGCTTCTATACGCTCCTCAGATGGAGAGGATTAAAACCTTTATCTCCCACTTTTCAGGAAAATGTCCTAAAAACCAGGCTATGAGCTAATCTGGGAAGGTGGCCCAGACTGCAATTCACAGGTCCAGAAGGTAGGGAAGAGAGACAAAGCCTCCTCTGTAGTCCAGGGGGGAGGGAGTCCTGGATGTCAGTCCCAATTGCCAAGACTGTTTATGTTCAGACAATCACTGGTTAAAAAAACAGGATTAGCCCTATTAGCAGTGACATTTCTTGAGTGCTAGTCCAAGGCCTCAAAACCATGGCCATCCTTTCTCCTTTTTCTTATGCTTCTCAAATAGTTGGCACTAGTCACTTCACAAGACTTCCTTTAATGGGTCAACATTCCTCCACTGGGGCTGCACTGTGTCCCTGGTACACCCTAAAGCAGTGGTACCCATGAGGGCTTCTGCTTGGTTCTACACCATGTTGTTGAACTTGTGAGATCTGGGAGACCTAATGACCAAACTTCCACGCATAAACAAGAGCTGCACTATATGTACACTGTCTACAAAGATTCTTGGAAACTTACTCATGATGGACCAATAAATGGGTATAAATAAGTCTTTGCTTCTCTGAGGTTACCATATTTTCCAGTGTGCAAGATGTACCTGTATATATTGCCCTTAAAAACATGAAAACTGCAGAAAAACAGTTTGAAAAATAAATTTGATTTTATTTTGTTAAAACTTTCATTACAATCATTTGCCTGTATTTTTTGGCATGTAGCTATGGTGTATAAAATGCACCTCAATTTTAATGCCTACTTTTTCCAGGGGAAGGAGGGAATCTATCTTTAAAACCAGAGTAATATGATGATGAACCTATGAAGGTTTATGCCAAAAAGAAGATAAGGCTCAGTGTAGTTTTGAGTGCTTTACATGTCAGTCATGTAATTATTCATTTTCAGTACCTCAACTGGATTTATTAATGAAGATGTCATAAGTGGTTTCATAGGAACTACATTGTTATTTAGCAATAATTAATATTCTATTAAAATAAAAAGTGTTATTGTAAGTGAATTCCTATAATTGAATGATGATTACACCTTACCTTTGCTCCATCAAAATAAACATTCATTCGCTTGAATGTTAGCATTGCTGTTGTGTTGTTTTACTTCCGTAAAACATTTTATTTCCTTACATGCCATATTACAATTAACAACTGGGTGAGCTGTAAATTCAGTATCTCAGTGCGTTTCATCTTTGCTTTACTAGCTGCAATTCTTCAAAAGAGATAAATGACATGCAGACACCTACTTCCCTCCTTTACCTTTTTTTTGGCATAAGGATTCAGTAATAATACCCTGGAGTCATCCCTAGCTGGAAGTCTCCTGGGCCTGAAATTATACCTGCACTTGGATGCTTACCAAAAATATATGTATCAAACAGACTTGTTAAATACAGAAACTCTGAGGTATTAAGGGGGCTGACTTTTCTTTCACTGAAGTCATTAGGAATTTCACTGACTGCAAAGGGACTGCAATCAGAACCAAATAAAACAGCCTCCTCCATCCTATAAAATATAACAGAAATTGTCATCTAGCACCATGGAGTTCTATATGTGGAGATAGGCTTGGAGCAGGCGGTCTTAAGTCAAAGCAGCAGATGACCCTAAATCAATTCTCTCCACATGCCCAAAAACTGACCTTAGCTATACTGGTGCTAATCCTTTACTGAATATTGGAGAAAGCAACGAATCCCTTAAGAGTTACCAATCAGTGGAACTGTTTGCATAAAATGTATTTACATACATATAGGTATAATCCAGCACTATTCAATTCAGTTATGTTCCTGCCCCTTGGGCTAGGGACAGACATTACACATAAACCGGTTTAAGTGATCAGAAACTAGTTTAAACCAGTAACAGAACAGATGCTCAGTGCCCATAAACTGGTTTGAAAATGGCTGAAACGGGTTTGTGATAAACCTGGTTGAATGTAGCATCAGACTTAACTGATTTGGGTCAAACTGGTTTATGCAATGTCTGTCCCAGACCCCTTCCTCGTTTAAGTTAAACCAGATTCCCACAGCATCCTGGCATGCTTTCTGAGCTAGGACCTCTGCTCCACACCAGAGCTAGCCACTGCCCTCTGCTTCCTGGCTGGAGCTCTGGCAGAGACTGCAGGCACCTGGCCTGGCTTCCCATCTGCTTTCCCTCCCTCACCACTCTCTGCTAAGCAGGGATCCCCCTCCCCCCCGCACCCCACCTTACACAGACACCTCTCAGTATTAGCTAGCATATCACATGCTGACTACATCCATGCTGTGGGAGATGGGACAAAGGACAGTGGCTTCAGACTCTTTGGAGCTAATCAACAGGTCAGTTGGTAATGTCCCTCCATTCCTTCCTTGGAACAAGCTGTTTAAGAAGAGCTTGAACTAACGAGAGATGCTTTTGTTTTGCTGATGGGGTGCTAAATGCTGTGTAAACCCCTGCTGGCTCAGTGAGGGAGGGGGGGCTTCCTAATCAGAATGTCCTGCTGGGGCCTAGACACACCTCCCTCAGCTCAGCATTGTGGAATGGAAGGGAGGGCTGTTCTAGCACCCACTGGCTTCTAGCCTGAGTCACTGCAGGCATGTGCCTGCATTTTTTCAGTGCAGGGGGGATGTCTGTGCAGTTACAAACTGATTCAGCCTAGACAGGCTAGACTAACCTGCAAAGATTGAATCAATTTAGGTTCAGGCTTTTTGACTGTCCCTAGCCTTGGAGTTAACTGTCTTCTGAAGATCTGCACAACGGCTTCTATGTAGGTCCATGCAAAAAATGGAGTGTGCCTGTGCCTATCAACCAATGTTTCTGTTAATTGATAATCTACTGTTACTTAAACTGTTGTCCATGGATCACTGGTAACTTGTACAACACTTTCTGAAGGTTGACAGAATCCTGGGCCCACACCTAACGTCCAACCAAATCACAGTAAAATAAGCTAAAAATAATTTCCTACAAATAACTTCCCTGGAAGCAATTGCTGCAGGTGTCACTTGGATGTTACAAGGATTGTAGAATGAGAGGGAGGTGTCCATATGACACTTTATGATGAACTTATCTACACTTAAAAAAAACCCACAGAAAAACAAAACCCCCCCAAGGAGCTACTCCAACCAGTGCATCAGAACAGACTCAATTAATCCAGTCTGCAGAAGCATGCTAATTCAAACGCTCCAGCAGCCTCTGGGTCTTGTGTATTCAGGGTCCCTGCAATTCAAAATGGCAGCGGGGGTGCTTTAACTAAGGCGTGTTGAAAAAGCCTTAAAGTGCCTCCGCTGTCATTTTGAAGTGCAGGATGCTGAATACACAAGATGCTGCAGGTGCTTTAAGCAGAGTGGCTCTTGGAGCTGCTCTAATTAAAGCATGCCCCACTCCACAACTGGAGCACATGTAAAGATGCCCTCAATGACCAAGCACCATAGTTATAATACAGTAAAAGCTCTGTTATCTGGCATCCCCCAGGAATGGGGGATGCTGGATAACAAAATATGTTAATTGAGTGGCCCTGGCCACTGCTTCTCCCGCCACGTCTGGGGCGTCCCTCCGCCCCTCCCACAGCATCGCTGCCTCTCCCATGGACCATGCAGGACAGGGAGGCGGGCCCCACACAGCCTGTTATGCCCCCGGGCCATGGGGGCTCAGCAGCCCAGGCTGCTTTGCCCTGAGCCGTGGGACCCCAGAGAAATCAGAAGTGCCACAGTGGGCACTTCCAGTTTCACTTTATCTTACACGCCAGCATGCCGGTTAGTGGAGCATGCCAGCTTGTAAGATGCCAGATAACAGAACTTTTGCTGTATTCAGTTTAGGCAAAGCATCAGCTGCAGTTTGCTCAGATAAATGATTTGATAACCAAGTAACAAACAATGAACAAATGAACAAACCTGGCTTTTTATGGATAATATTAATAAAAGAGTTGAGCATGGTAAGCCATTTCTACTGGCCAATTTATAATTCCAGAGGAAGAGGAGATTTTGTTTTTTTTAAGCGATTGTCTTTTAAAAAAAAATTTAACGTACTATGCTTCTAAAAAATAATTCAGTATCCATTGTATGTTCTCCCCTCCACTTTTTATTTTTTGCAAAGCATTTCATTCTAAGTATCATACCTTGGCTAGATGTTCTCCTAGTCCTTTGGGGACTTCTCGCTCTTTTTCATTATCAGTTTTGTTACCCAGCAAAAGAAGAGGTATATTCTCCCCAGCTGCCTCCTGCAGAGCAAAAAACCGCCACAAAATTATGGAAGACATAATTTTTCAATATCAAGCAGAACGTGTTTTGAAAAATGAATACTGATTATGAGACGACAAGCACCTGCAGGTGCTTAAGTGCCAATGCGAAATAAGAATAATACAGTTACTGGATCCAGGAAGCAAAATACTATTGAATAAAGAAATACACCAGGCCTTGAGGGTGGACAAACACAATAAAGGAGATCTTCTGTACTAGAGATTCATCACAATACTTGCTATTCCTTGAATAATGAATAAACATAAAAATCAGTCAAACTAAAAAAACAAATTAGAAATACTGTGCTACACATAGCCACAGGCTATTATCTAGCTTATACTTTGCCAATTAGATGGACATAGACATACTTGCATTTAGATATAATTATACCAACTGAAGTACATAATGTAGCGAGAGATAAAAAGCACAGAACAAATACATTCAATTGAATCTAATTCTGAAGAATGGTAACATTTATTATAAAATAAGGCACTATCGGGACAAATACATTATCATAGCTCCAGCAGGGACTAAATTTACCGCATGATGAAGTTGGCAGGGTGCCAGAGAAGTCAATGCATTTGGCTGTATTTCTTTCAAATCACTGCCAGTTACTATCTCCCCAAATTATTCAGTAAAGACGAATCAACTACTTAAAATATTGGAATTGAAATAAGACCAAGTTTTCCTATCAAAACCTTAATTGTTATCTGCAGGTAATTTTCAATTTGCTGAATTTGTTGCAACTGTAGGATTTTTTTATTAGATAATATATTAAATAAGAGACCTATCAAGCAAATACTTAATATTAGGTTTGCTTCAGTGGAAGTACACCCATTAGTAAGTATTTGGGCAATTTGGCCATAACACCAAAGTGCAGAGCCACCTTGTGGCCACTGCAGAGAACAGTGCTTCTGATAAGAGTGCTCTGATCAATAGTTATCACAAGAGCTCAGCAGATATAACATGGAAAACTGTAGCATGGACTTTCATTGGGTGTTGGTGTACTGACCTTAGAAAACTTTCTTCCCCCCCCCCCCACAAGGAAACTGAATCATCTAGCACCAACTAATTTAACTACACTTACTGGGGATACTGTTCACATGTACATGCAACTCAATAAAAATCCCCCGAGCAAAATATGCCATTGCAAAAATGCCTCTTAGAGATTACATTATTGCTCTGAAGCATATTCCATGTCAGTGACAATGCTAGAGCCCTCAGCTAAATGACCTTTAATAAAGTGCATGCTGATACAGAAACTGGAGAAAGTGGCAATCTTTTTTCAGGATAAACTGAATACCAGGAAATGCTGGAAGGGAAGACACACATCCAATCCATGGATATTTTACTCCTTGAAATTTTAGAGTTATTATTGTTTTAATATCAAATTAAATTTAGGGGTTCTAAAAATAGCTGAATTGGCAGTTATGCAAACTGAGGTCCTACATACAAAATAAATAATTGCTAGAGCTCAAGAAATGCCAGCATCATCTTGTCTCTGCTTTGCACTGCTAATATCCCTTATCTATTAGGAGTATGCCAAGGAATTAGAAGATATGGTCTCGGGTATCTGGATTTAAAGCTATGCAACTCACCTCAATGCTCACAAGCCACTGTTTGACGGATATGAATGTGTCTTTTGCTGTTATGTCATACATCACGACGACACCATCGGCTTTTCTGAAAAACTGCTTGGTAATACTGCGGTACCTGCAAAAAAGAATCTGTTTGTAGCCCTATCCTGGTCAGCCTTAGGAACATGACAATATTCTTACCATACAGTAGTCACAAACTCTACAGCAACCATACTATCCTGTAGCACTGAAGATTTAGATACAGCCATCTAGGACATTTAAACTCTTATGAGCTAAGTTTGAAACACAGCTATAAGGGCACATGCTACCACATAACTTCCCAAATTAGGGGCCAATTTTTCAACTGTTACTCAAATATTCAACTCTTTATTCATCCAAGTAGTCCCAACGAAGTAAGTGGGATTAGTCAGATTGGTATAACGATACTACTTCTAGAGAGCTTTGCAGCTGCAGATCTTAACTGTTTTCCTAAGGGAAAATCATTATTACGATCATTCTATAGATGCATAGTAAACTGAAACATGACCAGTTTTGAGTGAGCTGTTCAAGGTCACACAGCAAGAGATTACCACACCTGGTTATGGATTATTTATGGGTATAAAAACTGAAGACAAACTCTCATTTACTTTGCTTATGTATGAATTTATAGTGAGGAAGTGTATTTCTCCCCTCTATCAAATACAGTCCTTTCGCCTGTTCTAAGTTTGGAACCTGCACTGATTACAATGAGAATTTCACGCTAAATTGAATGCACAATATTCTAGCAAAAGCTTCAGTGAAAACCTAAAAGGAAAAACATGGCTTTACTGAGATGTGTGTAACTAAATACTGTGCATTTCTGTCCCTTTTTCTCTTTCAGTGGAAGTCCATGAAAGTCACTCCCTGTATCAATTATTAAAACAGGGCCGTCCAACTTTCCAATGGCTGGCGGTCAAATCCATGCAGACCATAGGCCCCCGAGGCCACACAATACGCAGGTTTCTGCATCATGCACACCTCCGCCCCTCCCCCCCCGCCCACACACACTGTGCTGTCTTCTCTGCACTTCCCCTGCGATATGCTCACCCTCCACCCCCCACTGCATGGTCTCCTCCATGCTCCTTCCAATGCATACTATCCTCCACTCCCCACCATGTGGGCTTCCCTGCACCTTTCACACTGCTGTTGCATGGTCTCCCCATGTTAGCTCACTGTGCGTTACTTTGAGCTCCCGCTTCCATGCAGACTTCCCTACCTTGCAGGGCCACCTGGAATCCAGAGCCCTGGGCTCCCTGGACCATCCCACCCCCAGGGGCTGTGTCAGTAAATATGTGCTGGAGGACAAGGGTTGGGGGAAGCCTGGAGGCTCTGGCAGCAGCAGCTGGAGCAGTGTGGGGAGCAGTACTTGGGAAGAAATCCAGGGGGCCACAGTTTAAACCCGTGTGGGCCACATGTGACCTGCAGGCTGCCAACTGGACAGCCCTGAATGAAAACATCAACCCAACAAAAATATGTAAACACATTTTTTAAAATCCTGTTGCTGATCTAGGTGGTCCTGTCTTATCAGACCTGTATCTCACCTCTGTCTTCCCACTTCATTATAACCTTGTGTGCCATTACAGGAATTCCTCTTTCCTCTGCACCACTGAACTCAATAGAGCTGGTTAGAAGCCAATTTATTCTCCCATGAACAATTTTCAGGGGTTTCCCTTAATAGAAACCAAAAAATTGGGGGTGGGGGAATATATTTTTATCAGTTTGCAGCAATGAAAAACTGTGATTTTAGGTTTTTTGGTAACCTGACACTAATCTTTTTCTATTTAATGTCTTCATTTAAAATAGAAAAGTTTCCACAGCAACTGGAATGTGTGTGAAAAATGTCAACTTGTTAAAAAAAAAAACTTTTTTGTTGTAAGAAAGTGCTGACCACTTTCCATCAGCTGTACTCCTCCCGTGCATCTTGTAGACTGTTAGAGGCTGACAGCGTACCTGGAACATTCCACTCTACTAGCAGATATCGATTCTTCTGGGAAAGACTCAAAGCAGTAATCTCACTATGATTAAAAGTCATTGGGGACAAGGCCATGCTTGCTGTGCTCCCACTTCTGGGAAGTATGTTTGGGCCCAGGGCTGTTATTTTCTAAATTAATAGCTTACAAGAGAGGAAAGTTCAGACGTTTTCTTACCGTTCCTGCCCAGCGGTGTCCCAGAGTTGCAGGACCACCTGGCTGTTATCCACAGTTATTGTTTTCACACAGTAATCTATACCTAAAAGAAACCACAGCATATGCAGGTCTAATCAAGTATGTGGTGATGTATGATAACAGCATCATGCCCAAATAAGACATTAATTACCATTCTAACCCATTTCATAAGGCATGTAATTAATCCTGGTCCTTTGCATGGGGCTAATAACAGGAACAAGCAGAAGCTTCTATTTGCCACAGAACTTTTAGCAATAGCAAAAACATTGAGGGTTGCATGAATTGATTTAATTCATAAAAAGTCAGGATGAGTGAAATTTTGAAAAGCACCTAAGTGATTTAGTATCTTGTGTCCTGTTGATTGTCAGTGGCAACAGAGCTCTGAAGTCACTTTGGTACATTGCAAATGTTGCTTAAAATGCTTCAATCAAACCTCTCCCAGGCAGGATACTGGATACTTGTGACAATTGCTCCTTCAGCCATTATACTTCATTGTCTTCACTAATGCTTCCTAGCCATGGAATCTACCACAAACTACTGAAACATTCTCCTAAAGCCTGCACCTGCCCCACTGGAGTCCATGGGAATTTTGCCACTAGTTTTAACTGAAAGAGCCCCTGATACCTCCAGTGGGTGATAAAGAAGTAGGATGGAGAACATCCAGATTTCACAGAAGCTGCATCTGGGTTTGTCAAGGTTTTGAATGACTGCTCTATCTATACAGCCTCCTTCAGGGGTGAGCAAAATGCAACCTGACAACTGACTGGATATGGCTCCCAGGCAGGTGTATACTAATACGCCTGCCACTGTGATGCTCCACATGTGAGCCCTGCCCACTCCCACCCCAGGCAGCCCATACCCTCCGACAGCCCTGGCCCTGTTACCAGCCAGCGTGCACAGCTTTCTGGTGGGTTGCTCCTGGTGCAGCTGCAGGAGCCCAAGTTACTGCTCAGCTCCCCCTGCCTCCAGTGGCTGCTCCTCCTCCTCCTGCCTCTGCTGTGCTGCTTTGGGCAGCAGGTAGCACAGGGAAGCAATGGTGGCTGTGGGGGATGTGTGCCAGGTAGCAGATGCCCAGCCAAGCAGGGGAGAAGCTGCAGTTGGGCAGCTCCTGCCCCAGCACACAGAGCTCCTGCTTCAGCTCCCAGATACCTTCCACCCACTCCACCCACCTTCAGGTGGTGGTTCAACATGCCAGGCAGGCAGAGTGGGTGGAAAGTGGCCTGGAGCTGGAGCCCCACACAGAGGCAGCAGCTGCCCAGCTGCAACTTCCCTCTGATGGGCACCTGCTGCCTAGCATGTATCCCCATGCCTTCCCCGGGTTACCTCATGCCTGGAGGGACACAGCAGGGGCAGGAGGAGGAGGAGGAAGAGCCACTGGAGGCAGCAGCTCCACCAGGAAGCTGTGTGCACTGGTTGGGGTTGGGGTCAGGTGGGTGGTGCTGTCTGGTGGGGGTAGGGCAGGTGGGGGTGGAAGCATGGCACAGGTTGGCCCAGGAGAGAGCAGGCAGGGCTCAGCCCCAGGAGGAGCACCAACAGGGCAGCCGAGGGCTGGATGGGGTAGGGGGGGGGCTGCACTT